CCTCGTCTTCTATGTCTTGCCGCCTGCCTTTGGCGCTGGCCCGTGCTCCTGCCCTTTTCTGGGCTGAGGCTTGCTATCCTCAAACTCACAACCTGAGATCTCTACCAACACCAGGAAGCAGATTTCTTTGAGGGGGGGTAAATGAGCCCCCTTAACATAGGGGAAAATAAGTGTGGGGGAGGGGGAGTGGATACTGTGGACTTAAAATTTGCAAGTCAGCAATCAGTTATCCTTGGGTTTAGGCTTTCCCTCTAGAATCCCATGTGACAGAGAAGGGCTGCAGGAGTTATGGGTCAACCAGAGATCTGTGCCTCCAGCTTGCCTCCTTTCGATGCCCAGAGCTGGGAAAGCGCGCGTCACTGGGCTCACTCTCTTCTCCCTCCCACCCCAGCGCTGAGAGGTGCACGAATTAGAATGAATTGAGGGCGTGTGAGGAGCCCTGGTAGCCTATTGGCTGGGCAGCTAGCTGAAGTCTATGGTTCAAACCTATCCATCTGCAGGAGAAAGATGTGCAGGTCAGCTTCAGTGAGCATTTATAGAATTGGAAACTCAGTTCTGCTCTGACCTATAAGGTCTGCATAGATCCTGATCCGTACCACTTTCTGTGGATTTGGTTTTGCATTGAAGGACAACTGCCTTCTGAGTACTGGATGCTGAACTCTTTGTCAAAATAGGTAGCCATTGTTTGTGGGAGGCATCTTCCTGCTGGAACCCTCACTTAGAGGCCCATGAAGCTGACTTGTGTCTATGTTGTTCAGCCCTACATTGTTACAGCCTTTTGCCCCTTGATCCTAGAAACCTCAGGTGCAGACTTAGTTTTTTCACAATTCAGTCCTATTTTAAGTATCTCCAGAAAGTGATAATGGCATTTGTTAGCAGATAGGCTAAACCAATTGCCCTCTTCAGGGTGGCAAAAGTCTAGAGCATGTGCTTAATTCTCTTTCAAAAAGGCTTCCTCTTCCTTAATCACGCTATCTGTGGACAATCCTAGGAAGCTGGGTGGCCTAGTGGTAAGGAGCTGCGCTGCCAACCCAAAGACATAGGCTCAAATCCAGTAGCTGCTCCGTGGGAGAAAGAAGAGCCATTCTTCCTGTGCCTTTTGCAGACTCTGAAAAGTCAGCTATGAGTCAATTCTGACTTGACAGCACATAACATGAACAATCCTAATAATACTGCATTGTATAAGGATGAGACATGGTTTTAGCTGTAACAGACCCTTACCCTTGGTTTTCCTTTACTTTATGGGCGTAACAGCCCCACCACCTTGAGTAAGAGTTAAAAGGTAGTGAGTGCTTGGCATAAGGTTAGCACAAGGTGACTGTTCGAACACAAGGTGATGTGTTCATTTATAACTAAT